GTTAACTGTGGCGGCTAGGATGAACTGTGGCGGCTAGGGTTAACTGTAGTGATAGATAATCTTAATTGTTAGCCGGATATTCTCGTTAAATGTGGTGGCTAGCGTGAACTGTAGCGACTAGGGTTAACTATGGCGGTGGATAATAAAATTGGTATCCAGGTAATTTAATAATATAAAGAGTTATCTTAATTGTTAGCCGGATAATAATTATAAATACTGTCAACCTAAAGATTTACACGTTTATCTTCTCAGGATTCGTTAACCCCAAAATCGTCTTTTCCTGTCACCACTTGCTATCACTCACCTAATTTTCAAGATATATAAGATGTTCTCCTAAATACCCAATCTTATATGTAGAATCAAAAAAATTGCAATGCTTTTAATTTAATTGATTTTTTTTTACTTGGTATAAACTTTGTTTAATGAAAAGCAATTATTGGTGCATCGTCCAAAACTCAGTATACTAAGATAGTAAATTACTTTCTCGATGGATGGCACCACGCTAATTCAACTGATCAAGATGATTTATTTTTTCCCCATAGTTTATTATTTTATTTTTTTGAAATAACAAAAATAAACGCAAAGTCATTCCAAAATGTACAAAGTCTACCTCCGAATATATATTGAATCATTCCTTTTATCAAAAGGTAAAGCTAGTTTCTAGAACCATTTCTTAAAGTTAGTACATATATATTTGGAAAAATCAAAAACCAAAAAGAAATTAGCACTCCATTACGCAAAACGCATATAGCAATCTGTGTTCCTTTTCCGAAAAGATCACTGGCAATGGCATTCTCAAATGCTACCTATATAATCATTCCCCTTATGAGAATCTACAAAACTATATACTCCCAATGGATTTTTCAATAATTTGTCACTCGTCGTCATCTGAAAGGCAGACCACTTCACCGCTTGAGTTACCTTGCTGCTCTTGAGCCAGCCTTCTTGGGTATGTTGTTGATGCAGCAGCAGCAGACGCGTTGGGAGCTCGAGATGCTCGAAACGCCTGCAGATGAGGTGCCGGAGAGCGCACTATACCATACACTGCCTTGGAAGAAGATGGAT